CCCACCTCTGGGTGAGGCATGGGGAGGGCAGGGACAAAGGGGACGCTGGAAGCTCGGCTCCTCCAGTGCATCTGGACAGGCTGCCACCGGACCTGGGAGGAGCGCCGGACCTGAGGAGCCGAAGGCTCAGGGTGTCGCCTCTACCTGCGAGCCCACCCCGCCCAAGCCAGCAGCCATCTCCAGCAGCTGCCTCCCGACAGCCCCCTTTTCCTCTGTGCTCACACAGGATTATTGTTAGTTGCGCTCTAAGCTCCCATCCTAGGCCCTGACTGGAGCTTGTTTGTCCGGGGTCAGGTGACTCTGGTGATAGTCTCCTTGGCAGCAGATGGCATTTTTATGCTGTGCCCATCAGGTCACAAATGGTGACACACATGAAGCATTGCCCTACTAGCTGTGCTGGTCACACCTTTGATCCCAGCACTATGGGAGGCTGAGGCAGGAAGATCACAAGTTTGAGGCCAACCTGGGCAATTTAGCAAGTCCTTGTGTCAAAATAAGAAATAAAGCACTGGGTATATGTCAGTGTGGAGGCCCTGAGTTCACTCCCCAGTACTACAGGGGAGAAAAAAAGGCCCTGTGGTTGGGCCCTCCCAACCCACAGTGCTGGGCAGCATCAGCATACCTGAGCCCCCAGTACGAGAGCCCACACCGGCCCTGGCCCCGCCTTCTGAGCCCACATCTGCTCGTCTCCACCCTGGGCTGCCTAGGACATTGCTGGCCGTTTCCTGGCCCAGAGGAACACCCAGGACAACCTGAAGCTGCAGATGGCAGACCGTGTGGCCCGGAAGGCACAGCTGGAGGCCCTGACAAAGAAGCTGCAGCTGGAAGAGGCACTGCTCAAATTCCGCCAGGTGCCCCGCTCTGTCAGGTACGCAGCTTCCAGGGTGCCAGCCACTTGGGCACCCCACAGGCACCATCTGTGCGCTCACTTCCACCACAGGTGTGTGTGTGTGCAGGAGCCAGGGGACCCGCCCACTTGCACCTGCACCTGCACCTGCACCTGCACCTGCACCTGCACCTGCACCTGCACCTGCACTGCAGCCTCTGCAGTCAGCAGAGCACCCAGCCCAAGACCTAGCCTGCTCGCCTTCCATGGGCCTGGGGGCTGTGCCACCTTGGTCCCTGTGTCCCCTCATCCTTCACAGCTTTAAGTCCATTGAAGAAAAGATGAACAACATGCTGAAAGAGGAAGAGGCAAAGCTCCAGCTGGCCCACAGTAACGTGACCAAAAGCCAGCAGCTGCTGCTGACCATCCAGACAGGCATAGACAACCTCTACATCCGGCTCATCGGTGTCGCCTTGCCTGCCAGCCAGGTACTGACTGAGCGGGGAGGAGCCGGTGCAGAGCCCCTGGGCTGAACCAGAGCGGAGACCAGACTGCGCCCTCGGCCTGCAGAAAGAAGCAGCGCCCTCTGACGCACTGGATGTGCATGGCAAGCTGGCCTACTGCGAGAGGAAGCTCACTTACCTGGCTGACCGTGTGCAGGCACTGTCCAGAATGGAGGAGGTAGCCTTGGGCTGGGGGGGGGGGGCGCACCAACACAGCTCAGGTCCCCTCTGAGCTGATGGGGACACGGCCCTGCAGGTCAGCCCCAAGGTGAGAGACGCTCTGGAGTCCTCCATGCTAAAGGAGAAGTACAACACCAGGATCAGCTTTGAGGATTTGGAGGAGGACATGATAGGTGAGGCCGCCAGCCATAGGGAGGGGACACGGGACCACAATCAGAGCCAGCCACAGGTCTGAGCTATGGGCGGGGGGGAGGACACAACGCGCACGCCATCTCAGGCCGTCCTGGAGGGGCAGTGAGAGCCACAGAGACCCAGAAGGGTTTCAATCAGGTGACTTTCTGATGACACACGAAGTTAACCCCATGGAAACGATCTCAAACTTAATTATCCTGAGAGGAGGGAGCACACATGACAGGAGTCGCTGGGCGGCCAAGCCAGAGCCTTTGGGGGCTTCTGCAGCAAAGCAGAGCGCTACAGCCCAAGACTGGCCAGTGTGGACGGCGCCCAGGTGGCCCGGCCCCTGGCCCTGGGGACCTGGAGCGGGGACTCGTCGCTAGACGGGCTCCCGGGACCTCTGCGCGTGTAAAGACGGGCCAGACGCGATGGGAGGCAGCCGGGCGCGGAAGCCGGGGGGCCACCGCGAACCTGCCACACTCGCGCAGAAAGCTTCCAGTTTGCGGACATGGACCACAGCTACATCCCGTCGCGGGCGGAGATCAAGGAGCAGGCCCAGTGGCTGATCGAGGGGAAACTCAAGGGGCCCAAGAAGAAAAAGAAGTAACCCCGCCCGCGCTTTAGTTCACAAATAAACACTTTCCGCGACTGCGGGTGCGTGAGCCGGAGCGCCGGCCGGCGGCCAGACGCGCGTGGGCGGGCCTGCGGAGGGCGGGGCCGCGGG